TTATACGTATTATACTAGTGTTTCCGTAGAGGGAGATTTGGGGTGTTACAGTTGCGGCTGGTGTTGCGAATTGTAGGACACTAAAAAATCTAGGGTTTCGAGGAGAGAGAAAGGAGAAACATTTGGGACGAAATTGGAGGGGGCTTGGTGGTCGGGCGAGCAGTTCTGGGGCTTGGTGGAGTTCACCGGAAGGGGTAGTGGTTGGAAGTGGCTGGTTGGGGAGTGGGGTGTTCCGGCAAGTGGCTGCTTTGGGTGGATCGGAGTGGCAGAAGGGGGACGAGATGTGTTAGGTTTTACAGCAATTCAATCAACAAAGAATTACTTAAAATTGTGGAAAACAAAACCTAAATAGTGTATAATAATCAAAATATACAACAATCAAACTTAAACAAAGTATTACAACCAAGCACCAAATAAACAATGTATATTCTGAAAATACAAACAAGAACACTAATGTAAAAGATTCTAACTTGCCTCAACTCCAATCCTTGATGATGATGAACATGAACATGAGAAAATAGATGACCACTTGAGTCTCAAACCTTGATACACTGTCAAATACGTGTATACACTTTCCTAAAGAGGTTGATTTCCCCCACACGGTGCTTTGGTTAAATCGGAAATCCTCTTTGAGATACAATTGACAGCAAAACTTCGTTCTTAGCACTAGAATCGAAGAACAATGAATAATTCACAAAAATTGGCTAAATTTCAAGAGTTTTCTCACAATAGTTTGCAAGAAAATTGAGAGAAAACAAAGAAAATGTTCTGTCTTTTTTTCGTTGTTCACGAAAATTCTCTTTTATAAGAGAAATAACCGTCAGCAAAAAACCGCAGAACTAGGAAGCAGCGCGGGCGCGCCAATAGGATGCGCGGGCGCGCCATCTTTTGGAGCGGGCGCTCATCCCAGAAAGTCTGCAAATGAAACTAGAAGACAGTGAGAGGTGCGGTTTGAGTGCGGTATTCAGCGCAGGCGCGCCACCAACAGCGCGGGCGCGCCTCCCACTTTCATGCAACATGCTGATTTCCAGAGAGGTGCGCGGTTTAGGCGCGCTCTCATCGCGGCCGCGCCTACCTGGCGCGGTCGTGCTTAACATGGGCGCGGGCGCGCACCATACAACACTCTAAATCATCAACAAGATGGTTGTTGGGGTTAAGGGGGATTTTATTTTTTTGTAAAAAAATTGATTTTTTTTTTAAAAATTTTTTTTAATTTAGGCCAATAGGGTGACGACACGTGGATCCTTTAGTCGGAAAACAGGTCGAAAAAAGGGATAGGGTGGTGATTCCTACTGGTATTGGGTTTTGCAGGTGGTATTTTAAAATTTCGTAAAAAAGGGGTGGTTTTTTAGAAAAGTGGTGAATTTGGGGGTGGTTTTTTTTAAAAAATTTCCTCCTTATTATAACAATAACAATATATAAAATTATCGGTTTAAACTTGATCCACAAATGGAACAACCTGAACATGACCCGACCCGAATATGACCTGATCATACTCGATTTGAAAATGGTCTGACCCAGCATGCGCGACCCGAAATTGACCCGACATGAACTCGACCGATAGCCGACCCAAGTCAAGTCATACCCAAAACCCAAATTGACCCGACCTGACCCGTACTCGACCCAAATGTTAACTAAACCGAAATAACCTGACATGAAAGTGACTCGACCCGAATAACCCTTTTACCAGGTATGTAGTGCTGGTGGCGCGACTTCTTTCACTAAAGATTTTTTTTTGACAATCAAGAAAACAAACTGATTACATACCCTTTCTAGCTGCTACAGCTAGTTTATGGGCTTCTTTTACATTAAGTCTATGGACTTTTACAATTACAAAAAAAGATTTTCTTATACTCCGTACTTCGTAAGATTTTCATGGTTTATGTACTACATAGTGGAAACATTTAAGTGATATAACTTATTATAAAGATTATTTGGATGACATGATATATATACTGTACTCCCTCCTCTCATTGTAATTGCTCTAAATTATTTTTTAAATGTCTCATTGAGTTTATCCCATATCATGAATGAAATGAGAGATCGCTACTTTATTTTCACATATATAATACATTATATATTAATCTCACTTTCCACCAATGTTCTCTCTCTCAATAGTTCTATTGAATTATAGTAAATTTTCTTCTATATGGCAACATGTTGAATAATTTAGAGAATGGTAGACTAATTTTATGTTATTTAATAGAATTACTTAGATTAAGGTGTTGTATTATTAATCAAATAAGTAATTAGAGCAATGAACCTCGGTTAAGAGGAAGCAAAGCAAGCAACCATCGCCGCCCGGTTTGGGTTGTGCTCGCCAGGAATTGATTGATTCGTCTTTTTTTCAGGAAATATTGGAATTTTTCGATATGTAAACTTCTGAGTAGGAAGAAAACTTGGCGCGAGGGTGTGTTTGGGAAGCTGTTCACCGCTCGGCAGGGCCATCGCCACCCAGCCGAGCGCGAGTGGGTTCAAGCTTCGTCACCCAGATCCGCCCGGTAGGGTGAATTGCGGCCCGATTGGGCGCGGGTTGGGTTTTGGAAGGTTTTTTTTTGCTTGAATATAAATATTTTCAAAGAACATATGATGAATAATAACTTCAAGAAATCAGTTTTTTGCTTTTGTTCTTGAAACCTTTTGCTTTCTCAATTATCATCATCATAATTACCAAAATTTTGATTACATTAGATCGCAAACATACTACACACTATTGTGATTGTCTTCATTATATCTCCTAGTAATTTCGTGATACCCGGTATGTAAATTAGGGTCGAAATATTACTTTGGAAAAGTGATTTTGTTCACGCCTCAAAGTGTTAATTTGTCCAGTTCGTTGCGATTTTTGTGACCCGATAAATACATTCCAAATATAACAAACTCAATAGAACGAAGGAAATATATAAAATAACATGTGATTTTAACTTCGTAATCTCTGATAACAAATTGTTTTTGGATAAAAATTACATACTCCATCTTTTATTTTTTGTCCTACTCATTACTATTCATCCATTTAATCCATTCTTTTTAATCTATTCACTTTATATTGTTCTATTTTGACTAATCCTTTTACCATCTTACCATTTTAATCCTACAATAATTACATCTTTCTACACATTGTCTCATTTTATTCACCATTTTTTCTCACACTCATACATCTTTTTACATCAACTTTCTACGTAATGTTTTTATGGCATCGTTTTTTTTTTTTGGTTCAATCCATCAATTTTGTAAGAAAATTTGGCTGTATCTATAAGTGTCAAAACAAACAATCCTACAAGTCGAACATTATTTGCACAATTGCACCCAGCAAAACAAAAAAAAGGAGGAAGAAGTTATACATTTTCTTCAAAAGGGTCGGTAAGTTGGTAGTATTTTGTCTTAGGGAATTAGGACATAACACAAATTGGGTAATGTAATTAACAATTCTACAGCTAGGGGATAGAGACTCAAAGCCCAAAAGGTATTTGTCTAAACACCCCAGATACATAAAGCATTGACTATGAAATTATGAATAGTGGAGTCTATTTTCTTTCTTTTTTTATTATTATTTTCTGTCTTGACCAAAAACTCCCTTTGCCCTTGTATTAAAATATAAACCACACAATTACTATTTTATAAAACGATAAGACTATAGCACCCAAACAAACTAATAAATTGAGTAATCTTGTATTTATTCCTTTTGGTATTGAAGGAAAGAAAGATAATAGACTCTCTTCGAGACAGGTATATTTGATATATCAACAGTCATAATTGTATGTATTGAAGAAAGAAATAAACTAGGGTGTGCCTTCAAAAAAAAAAAAAAAAAAAAATAGGGTGTTAAAATAGGGGGGGGGGTGGGTGGGAGAGATTTGTTTGCTTGATTAGATATTCTAATTCTAATCTAAATTTCGGAAAGTGTAAGTGCATAACTATTAGCCTTCATTAATAATTGTAAAATTATGATATACGGAGTATATAGTTATATAAGGCGTACAAATAATAACAATCATGTTAGTATGTTACTATCTTAGCATTTACAACTACTTCGAAGTTACTAACTTCACATATGAAAATGATATCACGTGTACAATAAGCCACTTATTCCCCTTTCATAATAGGTTGCATCGATATCAGTTGTGGATTTAGTCTAGGTGATTTAAACTAATTAAGTTATGCTTGTTAGTCTATCGTTCTCAAAATTTTGTTTCAAATACTAAAATTATTTTCCAAAAACATACAAGTAAAATTATTTGTTTCAATTATTATGACTACCTTATTTTCATTTGTTTAGGAAGACTAAGTTTGATGAAGGTTTATAAGTTTAAATAAGATAGGTTTTAAAATAATAACTAGTGTGTAGATTGGGTAATGCCTCAGGTTGCTAGATTCAGTAGTTTGTACTTCTTTAATTCGATAATTATGTTCGACGGTTTGTATAGCTAGTGTATGATCCGGACAATGTCTCGGTGTTTTTTATTTTTACCTCATATGTATTTATTTTCTAATCTAGTGAAAAATAAATAAATTACATAACCTCTAATTTACTTAATAAGAGAAAGGAATATATAATGTTATGTGAAATTTAAAACATTAATAAAAGATGGTTGAGATGATAAATGTGTGACCTTAATGTGTTGGAGGTTACGGGTTCGAATATAGCTTAAATCATAATTTATTCACTTAAATGAAGTGACAAGTTTACGTGATGCATATACTTTGAATAGTGACGTGGTATTGTGTCTTGTGACATGACGCATATATTTTAAAGAGTGTCATGTGTCACCGTTCTTTTAAAAGGAACGCCTTTTAATATATATAGTATAGATTCTGATACTTGTTAAAAACAAAATAAAAAAAAATAAAAAAATAATTTACCACCATGGATTTTTTTTAATAATTTCATACAAGGTCAACCGATTTGAATTTAGTTGAACTTTTTAAACTTTATTATTATCCAAGCACATTTTTTCAAAGGTAAACATAACATGACCTAAAAGTCAATATATTGTAACAATTTAAAAATTAGCCGAAGTGCTTTTAACATTAATTTTTGTAAAAAACAATTAATCATAAAATAAGTTTCAATTATTTTAAGAGTAGATTGAGTACCAAAGTTCCAAAGATCCATCTTCCATGTTAGTTTCACATTAAGTTCATAACGGTCAATCTTTTCTTTATGTAACCACCTACTTAGAACCAACGTGAAGAGAAACAACAACCATTAATGAAAATACTTGAATAGTCTACTTAACCCAAAAATTTAAACCGAAACTTGTACTTATAAAAACACCTCCAAATTCCCCCAAAGGACATTTTTGGCACTCCACCCTCTAAATCTCCGATCCTTACCACATCACATAAATTCCCTCCTCCAAAAAACCCCCACTTTTATTCAATCCAAAACCAAAATTCCCAAAAAAAACTCAATTTTCCCTTCATTTTATTTTCTTCATTCTTCAATGGAGAAAACTCAAACTCAAACAAAATCTCTATTTCGCCTCCTATTCTTCACCATTTTCCTCCACAATATCCACCCAATAACCACCCTAACTCCGGCCATTTCCCCCTCAAAACCACCCACCTCCGCCCCATCAACCACCGCACCCTCAAAACTTGACCCAAAACAGCTTAGAGCGCTTCAATCCCTCAACATCCCCACCACCAAAGACCCTTGCTCCAACCCTCCTTCCCTACACAATGCCATCCGTTGCGACACCGCTAAGCCTTTCCGCCACTTACTCTCCCTTCACTTAATCAATTGTTCCGATGACGTATCCCTGTCAATTACCGCCCTCAAATTACTCTCTACCTTGCAAGATCTCCAGTTCATCGACTGTCCCGTTGCTCCGGTCGCATTCCCACTTGAACTCGTCTCGAACATAAAAACATTCACATGTATAAACAGTCTGAAGAAACTCTCAGGAGTCTGGCTTAGTAAGCTGGAGAATGTTACAGATCTTACTGTCATTGATGTTCCAATCAAAGCGAGTGGTCCAGTAATTGTGGTAGCTCATCTTAATAAGGCGAACAAAGTGGTAATGTCTCGTACCAATCTCACTGGTGGTTTGCCAGGCAAATCATGGAATGCGAATGTTTCGCACATCGATTTATCCGGTAATCATTTGAAGGGTAAGATCCCCATTTCAATGACTGAACTTGAGAACTTGGTACATCTCAATTTATCCTCGAATCAGCTCACTGGGGAGTTACCCTCTACTATGGGTGACCTCATTGAGCTGCGAAACCTCTCAGTTTCGTCGAATTCTTTATCTGGGCCGATTCCGGAATCCCTGAAATCAATTCCATCTTTAATTTCCCTTGATCTGAGCTCTAATCAGTTCAATGGGAGTATCCCTAGTTTTCTGGGTAAAATGAAGGGTTTGAAGCATTTGAATCTAGAGAAGAATAATTTTCAAGGGGTTTTACCCTTCAATGAGTCATTTATCAAGAAATTAGAGGTTTTCAAGATTGGGGACAATACCAATTTGTGCTATAATCGTACCACATTATCATCGAAACTGAAACTTGGCATTGCTCCTTGTGATAAGAATGGATTCCCGTTGTCGCCTCCGGCGCAATCGCCTTCAAGCGACGACGAAGGCGATGAGGATGATAGCTCTTCGGAGGATTCTACTAGTGACAAAAGTGGTGGACATCATGGTCCTAATAAGGTTGTTCTTGGTGTTGCTATTGCTCTTTCTTCTATTGTTTTCTTGATTATTTTCCTAATTCTATTATCAAGGAGGTGTGCATGATTATTTTAGAGATTAATTTTTTTTTTTTTTTAGGTTTGTTATTATTATTAGATTAGATTGGATTATTGAAAATTGTCAAATTGAACAAAGAAAAAAGAAGTCTATTTTTTTTTTAGCTCTATACATTGCCAATTAGCAAAAGGGAAAATTGGCAAATTGGAGTAGGAGAAGGGTATTTTTTCCATTATTTTTTTTCAATATTGGTGTGATTATTTTTGTTATTTTGTTGTATCTCTTAAAATATTATTATTATTATGATATATTGATATGCCAGCAAAGAATTGGCAGTCAATCTTGATTATATGTACTGGATGTTTTGATTATGGCTGCATAATTATTAATGCATGTTATAGGATGAAGCAAAAAAAAAAATTAAGTATATACTTGTATTTATGGTTGTTGCCTAGCTGGATTGATCCAAAATCACAGGGACCGTAATTATTACTTTTAATTTTATTGGTTAATGTGGATTATACAAGTAATCAAGTTAAAAGTACAGTATAGTTAAGCTCAGAAGTTTCTTTTTGCTTCAATCATTTTCACATTTCTTTGCCTTCTGGCAAGGTTCTTTCTTTCTTAATTGATAAGTATGTCTTGAAATTTTGAGTTTTTGCTATCTCAAAGCACTACTTTTCAAAATTAACTACGGGAGTTATGATAAAATTATGTGTTGATCGGTGTTGGTGTTACTCTGATCTGAATTAATATTTGTGGGGTTTAATGTTTAGTATTGCTACAAAGTATTAATTTTCATTTTTGTGCATAATCTTTAGTACTAATATATTACTTTTCTAAGGTTAACTATTATGTACGTTACAATTGATTGGAGGATGAAATATTCTTAAAGACCAAAAAAATTGCAGATCTAATGAGAAGATCTTTTTGCAGGAGGTTCATGCACTAAAAGCTAAAAAGCTCTTTAAAAAAATCCCTAACTCGATTCTTTTTTCACCTTATAACTTGTTAATTATTGTTTTTATGTTATTCCCTCCTGGGTTCTGCCCCTTTCTGTTCTGCTCTTTGCTTTGCCTGCCTACAATCCTTTATTCTCTCCTGAAGACTTGCAAGTTGCAAATAGTGCTGTTAAATCGGTGTGTCGATTAGGTTTTGTGAACCGTAGTCTGTTCTTCTCAGGTTTAGTCGAGTCTTTCTCATAACAAATTAGTTTTGACAGCTTTGAATGCAAAGATGGTATACGGATCGTTTTATCATTAATTACAAATTATATAGTACACTCATAATTTATTCAAACTTAATCATGCACATTTGGAGCAACAGTATAATGCAGTGCTCTCGAGTGTAGGATATAAATTTCTACTGATATGTGCCTGTTATAGAGTAATTATCAAAAGGTCGTAAAAGAAGCAATAAAATACTCCGTAAAAAACTGGCATGTGACGGGGCTGCGGCATCCATAACCACTTGGCCGTATTAAACTTGTCAACTAATGAACAACTCAAATGAATTATATCCACTAAAAAACAGAGTTATCAACATGACTAATCAATTACCAAGAAGAGATTCATGTGATCCTACATCTCAGACAGCAAGGCCAGGCTATCAGTTATCAGCCTCTAAACAATAATATTGCTGCAGAGAGACAAATTACACCTTTTTATGTAACGGCTTCTCTGCCAAATAGTTCCTCGGAAGATTATTGCCAAGTATGTGCAGACAAATTGCAGCTGTTTCACGTTTTCAGTTGTATCATTGAAGACTCCTGAATGCTGATCAATGTAGGCTGATTCTAATATTTATGTATTATGCTGAGAGCTCCAAAATCCAGGGATGTGTAAGAAAAAAGTAAGAGAAAATGATCCCGTGTACTCTAGATTCTACATAGACCAGCAGCTCGTAGAAGAAATAGATCTGTAGGCATATTTAGTATGTTGAGAATTTTCTAATATAGCCTCCTTGACATTAACCCTTACAAGAACAACGCGCATCCTTGAAATGGTGGAAACGCCGAGAATCTCTTAAGAGAATTTCTCTACGACAAGCTTTTGACATGAACTTAGCTGTTTCATGGCATTCGTGGCAGACTTTTGAGTTCTTTGTGACACGTATGGACTTCCCTGGTTCCAAATTTAACACTCCAAAGGCCGCAGCTGACATCTCGCTGTGTCCACAAAGAGATACTTCCTTCTTCACTTCCTCTGCATTACTCAATGTGTATTTTGCTGTTTCAGAGAAATCTTTATTCTTCATCATAGTTCTTAGTTTTTTTAAGAATGTGTCAATCTTTTTGAACTCTGGGTGTGCAGCAGGATTTCCTGCCAAAAAGATTTGGACCTTCTCCTTAACTACAATCCAGCTGCAAACCTTATTCTTTTTCAGTCCAAGATGGCTAATTCTGTTCTTTAACCATTCAACCTTCTCCCACATTTTGGCATCTTCGTAAATATTTTCAAGCACATAGTATGCAGCGTTATCTGGTTCAAGCTCAAAGATATGTTCAGCCACCTTCTCTGCTAGTTTGACATTATTGTGTACCCTGCAACCTTGAAGTAAAGCACCCCAAACAGCAGCTTCAGGCTTCAGTGGCATACTTTCGATGAACTTATATGCTTCTGTCAACCTACCAGCATTAGCAAGGAGATTAACCATGCAAATGTAATGCTCCAGCTTGGGCTCAATTTTACATTCCTTTGCCATTATGAGGTAAAATCTCTTTCCTTCATCAAGCAATGCTGAGTGAACACAGGCATATAATATAGATGTGAAGCAATTCTCATCTGGTTCAATCCCTTCACTTCTCATCTCATTAAAGGTGAAACTAGCTTCACTACCAAGTCCATGAATACAATATCCGGCAATCATTATAGTCCATGATATCAAGTCCTTGCTAAGAATCATATCAAATGCTAATCTTGCAAAGGCTAGATGCCCACACTTCACATACATGTCAACAAGTGCATTAGCAACATACTGATCAGAAATTTGCCTGTTTCTGAGCACGTAGGCATGGATTTGTTTGCCCCTTTCCAAGTCTGCCAGGCTTGCAAAAGCAGGTAATATGCAAGATATGGTTATACCATCGGGTTTCAATTCACGTTGCATTTGAAGAAATAAACTCAGAGCTTCATTAGGAAGGCCATTCTTTGAGTAACCACCAATCATAGTATTCCAGGATATTGTGTCTACCACAGGCAACTGACTGAATACTAATTCTGCATCCTCCATGCTTCCACATTTTATATACATGTTCATCAGAGCATTACAGACTGATATATCTGACAGCATATTGTGCTTTTTGATATAATCATGTGCCTCCTTCCCATCACCCAACAATCCACTCGATGCACAAGCATTTAACACAGTAGTCATAGCAAATGTATCAGGTCTAATACCCTTGTTTTTCATTTCATGAAACAACTTCACAGCAGCATCAGAATGACCTTCTCGTGCATATGTACCCATCATGGAAGTCCATGACACAATATTTCGATCATCCATATTTTCAAAAACTCTAATAGCACAATCTAAATAGCCACATTTCGAATACATATCAAGTAATGTATTGTTAAAAGTCAGATCCTGATAAAAACCAGTTTTCACTGCATAACCATGAAGCATTTTACCAAACCTGAGGAGAGCAATATCTGCACAAGCTGCAAGAACACAAATCACCGTCGTTGAGTTGGGCGATGCACCAGTACAAATCATTTGCGGGAAGACCTCGATTGCCTTCCACTGACATCCATTCGACGCATACCCACTAATCATAGAATTCCATGTTACAACATCTCGGTCAAGCAATTCATCAAACAGCTTCTGCGCACTTTCAACCCTCCCAAACTTGAAATAAAAACTAATGAGCGAGTTCACCACCACAGTATTACCACCTAAATGCAATTTCAACAAACACCCATGAGCCTTTTCACCTTCCTCCAAAAACCCTAATCCAGAAAAACACTTAAAAACACTCGAAAATGTATATGAATCAGGCTCAACACCAAACTCCTTCATCTTGTTATACAAATATACACCTTCCTTAAACTCGCCGGCTTTCGAATACTCCTTGATCAAAATATTCCACAAGTAAACCTTCTCATTGGCAATTTCATCAAAGATTTTCCTACCCTCTACTAAATCTCCACAATTCACATACATAAACACTAATTTTGCACCCAAATCACTGTCTGCTTTCCAACTGTTCGACGAAATGACTGAATGAACTCGACGACCCTCACGCAATGATTTTTGCTCAGCACAACGTCGGAGAACTAAACAATAAGTACCCAATTCCAATTCCGATGCTGGTGAACTACAGAGCAAATCTACAGCTTCTGAAAGCTTACCTGATTCGCAAAAATGTCGAATTTTGTGATTGCAATCGGCAAATTCGGTAGACATTGCTTTATTCAGCACAACTGAGGTTTTAACAGGGGTTGATAAGATGAAATTTGATGATTTTGGAATTGTAATTGATATGGGTTTGGAGAATAAGTTAGGAATATTAATATGATTGAGGGTATTTTGTTTTTTATTTTGAAGAGGAAGAAGAGAAACCCACAAGGTGTTTGCCATGGTTGTCATGGCGGATATTGAGGGCGGGAAAAGGTGGGAAATTGAAAGTTTGTTAGTTAAGTGTTGAATTCAATATTGTAATTTGGGTAACTTTATAGTTTGTTAGTGGAAGTTGTAAGAAAGAGGAGTTATTAATGTCCTCTACCCAAGTACCCAACTATTCTTTGCTATCTCAAATGTATATATTTCCACTTTTTGTCAATATTTTCTCCAGGTTTGATGCATTATAAGTAACATTTTTTCTAATTGAGAACTCAAGTGAGTTGTCTCGCATTAGAGAAAGAAAAGAGCAAAAACACCTTCTAAGTCCACAAGTTAATTACATGGAATTTTATTTGGATTTGTAATTGCATGGAATTCTCCTCTTCTTTATTGGGTTGCCTAGACCTTGGTTAAGGGGCTTCCAATCAAAATAACAATTTTGTACCTTCTACTCTAGTATTTTAAATGTGTTATTCACTTATTCGCAATTGGTCTTATAAGCATTTGGTTTTATAAGAAATAAATACTACTTCCTTCATTTCTTTATACTTACAACACTTTTCTAAAATGAAAATATTATAATAGTTGCAACACACTATAAAAGAAAGGTTTTTATGGTAAAAATTATACTATAACCTTTATTTAAAGCACATGGCCCACTTGATTATACTCCAAACAACCTCTTAACCTTATTTTAAGTGTGTTATATTATGTGAGGACCATGATAAAGTGTGTGTTGCAACTATAATGAAACAGAGAAAGTAGTACAAAATGTAAAACTTTATAAAAAAATAAAAAATAAAAAAAATGAAAATGAAAATATTTTGGTCACATAAAAACAAGTTGAAGGATTGAGGCTTACAGGCAGTGGAAAATCTCATCCGCTGAGAATGGAGGCAATTGCTCTCTCTGTCCTCAACAATCCCACTTCCTTATTGCTGGGAGGTATTAACCTTTTCTCTATCTTATTTCAATCTTGTCTCTGCTTATCTTTTCGTATTTAGCTTATGTATTAATGATAGTGTAATCTGAACTAGTAACTTGACCACGAAATTGGGATGGAGTGAGTAATTAGTATTCATATTGCCGCTTAATTGAAAAGATTGTTTTTTTTTTGAATGGATAATGGAAAAGAAATTTGAATTATTGAGTAGGAGATTTTTTTTTTTTTAAAAAAAAAGATTAATCCTAAAGATTTTACTTTCAAAAAGATGGTTTTTTAGTGGTTGCATTTGAATTTGAATCATGGTTGTAGAAAATGATGTTCTTTTGGGTTTTAATCTGATTGTAATATGTAAATCCCTTCTTTATTTCCTCTAGAACATAGTAATGCCCAACAAAATATAATTTGTATTTTGATTACAAGAAAGTTAAGGCTAGTTAGCTCAATTGTTATATCATTGATCAAATTGGAAAATAAGTTCTAATATGTTTAATATGATTGTGCTTGCAACTCTGTGTTAGCTTCAAAGATTAATTGTAGAGGCTGCAAATTTTGATTTTGGTACGCGTATTTGGGACTGAAAACTGAGTCATCATTTTTTGATGCAGCTTGTTATATTTGGCAGAGACTGTATACAGATTACTGCCTGTTGCATCTTGCAAGACACTATCATTTCACAATAAAAACTCGAGCATCAGAGCTTACGACACAACTAATTGGGGAGGTAATCTTTCCTCAAGGAAAAGTTTTTCGGGAAGAGCATTTGAAGAAGATGAGTTTAGCACACATATAACATCTGACAGCAAGTCCTCGAGAAGGGAAAAATTAATAGCGTTGTTTAAACGCATCCAGATCGAAATCTCTGAAGGAGAATCAGGAAGTGGGAATTATAGCAAGAGTACCCAATCAATTGATGATGATTCTTCTGTTGAAACCTCAGTCTTGGAATTTCTTCAGCAATCAAGCAGGGAAACAAAAGGTGAATTAGTAGTCATATCAGCTTCTTTTCACTACTAGATAGGTATGCAAGTATTTCACTTATTTGATTATCACATGCAGGTTTATAGGTTTATAGACGCTCTCCAGCATGCTCTTTTCGAATGCTAAACCAGTCTCTGTCTGACTGCTTTTAGCGCTTGAATTAGAACTAACAAGCTGTCTGTCATCCTGATAGTAAATTAAATAAATGCTTCGTATATACAAAGTAACTAAATACATAGATTTTGATGACAAAGAAAAACTAGATGTTTAACTTGTTGTGGGTGAACACACACTAACAATAAGTTCTGGGTTCTGGGAACAAAATAGTCGATCTCTGAAGTACACAGTAACATTGCCACTTGCCAGTACATCTGTAGAATGCTTTTCTCATATGCTATTTAGATTATCATAATCTACTCTAGAAATATTGGATTGAAATGTTTTATGATAGACCAGATCTTACAAAGTTAAACCTTACCAATCTGCTAAGCCAACAGCAAAAACTTTTTCCCTCAAGCTCTGTAGATATGCTAACCTGTTAGTGTACAAAATCTTCTTCTATTTGCAGTTGAGAGTTCAAAGTTGAAGCATAGTGAAGAGCCCAATCGCAAGAAACAAACTAGTGGGGAGAAATCAATATCTGTCCCAGAACCTCCTCCTACGAAGTTTACTCGTCCACCTTCCAACTTCGTGAAGAAGTCTCCAATTCCATTGACAACAGCATTGCAAAGCAATGAAATTGAGTTGAATAATAAAGAGTCAAGCTCAGAATCTGACAGAGAGTCTTTAAAGGTTGAAGGAATGAAGCTCAGCGAACTCAAAGGGCTCGCCAAAGAACGGGGTATCAGAGGTTATTCCAAATTAAAGAAGAGTGAGCTTGTAGAACTGCTAAACTCCTAGGTAAATGTATAGCTTGTCTCCTATGATTGATGTTCTAGCATTTTAAGGCTCCAGTAGACAACAAAACGGAGTAAAGCTGACTTTGATGCTGATAAACTATTATCATTCTTGGTTTTCTACCTAGCTTTCTCTGGTTCTGTTCATACAGCCTCATTGTCATGCAACATTTGTTGCTCGAAATATTGGCTTTCTTTTGTACTAATATCTTTCTATTTGAAAGTGTATTCTTGTATATATTCATTTGTTGATATGATAATTGGTTTTTTGTGTATCTTGGTGTTAAGCAGTAACAGTAAAGGCTGATAAACAAATATCATATTCAGAAGTTTCTTCCAAACTATCATATAGCTCATATACAGGATTGACAGATCAATAAATTGTTGACTCAATCACTGTTGATCTAGGCTATGCTTATTTGCATCTGAGACCATTAGAAGCTTCAGGCCTTTGGATCACAGTCCAACAGTAGACGTGCCATTGTTCCGGACGTTCAAAGCGAAAGTCTCTTTAGATACCATTTGAATGTGTATGTCAATCAGTAACTGAGTGATGACAATTATGTCATGTACAATTGTACACTGGCTGAAATATATTGGTTGAGCAAAGACTAAAGGTGTCCAATTCACCTGATTTTCACTTATTTAAGCTAACCTAAACTTATTGAATCTTGTTACCTCAAAGACTAAACAATCGGTGTGCTCAAAGACTAAACGGAGTAGATCTTGTTATTAGCTATAAATTGAACTTGGATATCATTTATTTAGTCACGTTCTCACATTTTAGTAGTAAATTGAACTTAAGTAACCTTTATCGACCACTATCCGAACTTATATTACGAATATATGAACTTCTTTTCCTTATACCTCCTTCCTCCAATAACCCTTAAAAGAGAGGCACCTATCTAAGTTCTCATTTTATGGTTTATACGTTCAACTAGAGTGATAATAAGTTAATCAGTGAGATTTGAGAATGGTGCCACATCTTTGTGTTATTTCCAGCAAGAACAAAGAAGGATTAGTGATAGTGAATAGATAGTTAATCTAAGCTTGTGATGCACTTTTGTAATAGTTTATTTCAAACTTCTACATGAAATAATAAAGCATCGTAAATTCGTAATACTGCTTTTGGATGCAAAGAAAAAGGCGATAAGAATTAAGCTACTTATCCAAAACAATTGACAAATTCTTTCTATAGAATCAACACTCTTACAGAGAAGTATATTGTTGGGAGTTATATGCAAGAGTACAAGCATTTATTGATCTTTCTTACACTTCATATATACAATGGCTTTGTCCGTTAATTGTAAACATGTATAAAGTAGTAGTTCTGTCAATTAAGGGAGAGCAAGGAACGAGTCACTTCGTGCAGGAAAGTGGCATGGCACCCGGTGTAGGATCGCGAGCCCAGAGCCATCAAGTTCTTAAGACATTGGTGATTTGGTGTGCACAATATTCACATCTCAGTCAGGCATGTATATTTTTGATATATGATACCGCGAACAGTGTAGAGTAACCCCGAATCATGGGTTTGAACACCATCTATACCACTATACAGTTAAAATCACAACCTACTGTTGTTTATAAATCCAAAGTGCCCACTACAAAGATCTTAATGTATGCTTAGCTTGCACTCTCAGATCTCAAAAAGTAAAAATGTGTGCGTGTGTGAATAAATGTCCCAATACTTCACCACGTTCCTTCACCAAAATCTTAGCCATTAGTCGGCTAGGAAAGAAGAAATTATTGTGTTAAGAAGAAGAAATAATGTACATACTCAAAACATATTAATGCGGAAAAACCATGGCACGACAAACGCGATGACCAAGCAGGCCATGAGGAAGTTACACAACGGTTGTCCTTGCCAGCATCCTTCTGCACCCATGTTTGATGAATCGGTTGCATTGGCATTTATTCTGCTGTCTTTCCACTCCTCCATGAAGCTCTCGTTCCCCACCCCTCGTACATTGTTTGCCATCTCCCCACATATTTCGCAAATCCTATACAATGACAAAGGCATTTCAAAAAAAAAAATTAAGTCTAAACTCTCAACAAGTTCAGTAGTTCTCTCTAGCTCAAGGAGGGCAAAGATATACAGGCAACTACATTGGTAATACAGAATTGCACACAGATATCTTACATCGATTCGATTTTTAAAAATATCCGACTATTACCATAAATCTTTGAACAGGTATAATTACTTATCAACAAATGTTATCAATATTGTCCCAACTCTCAACCAAGGCAAAAACCAAGTGTTGGGATGCCTTGTATCTGGCCTTAGAGTATAATTAATATTATAGGTCATTTGACTGTATTGCTGTAATACTTGTAATACGACACAACATAGCGAGGGCAGAGAAGGTAACCTGTTTTTGTTGTAGGAAAGAGATACTTTGGAACTACTACTTTCAGTGTATTGAGACCAAAGATAGAAAGGTGATTTTTCTCATGAAAACTACATGTTCTGTTGTGTGGTTGATCAACTTTTAAGAATTCCGAAGTTCTTAAGCAACAAAATACTCATAAGAGCGTGATAAGTTGCTTATACAAAGAGGTATGCAAGTGGAACTTCCAATACTTTTCAAACACAGAACACACATCTATTCATGAGAAAGCAAAGCAACAACTTTGTGATAAAAGGGATGTCATTTAATCATTTCATCTACTACATATTCACGGTTTTCCAGCTTTCATATGCAAACTTTAATTTATATGGACTATCAACTTTTTTACTATGTTGACTTTAAAGTCCATATAAGGCCAAATTAAAACATGTAATGAGTTATTCTGGATAAATCTATGACGTCCCCGTCTAGAACAGACTACTGACATGCTTTCAAAGGTTTCATAAGGATAAACCTTAAACACTTCTTTTTCAAACACTATATATGCTTTGATAAATGATAACATAAAGGTTAGGTATGTGAAAGTATACATATTCAAATAGAGATGCACACTAGTTGTTTAGACCAGGTTCAAAGTTCGGTTCACTACTAACTTGGTTTGGATCTTATTCAAGTAATGAGTCATTCGATACAATTTCGATTTTAGTAAGATCAAAATGAAACTACAGTATCTAATTTCATGTGCATTATGAATATGACTTAGGATAATCATGTTATCTTCGAATTCCATACTTTTTGACTAATAAGCTTCTATAGATTACAAAAAGTAAAAGGTGCATCTAGAATTTTAGATCTAATAAAAAGTGATGGACAAATCTTATATTAATAATTTGCAATTAGTCAAATGTGAGATGAAAAAAGCCAGATTTAGGGTTAAATTAATCTTAACCAAGATGTTCTAATATGGAGTATCAATTGTGTTTGACTAAAAACTTCAACTTGCAAAAGTAGTATCAATAACGCTACATACCTTAATCTTGTTTGTTACTCTCAAAGTCCATCAAAATGACAACTTGTTAGTTATTAACAAACATCAAATGCAAAAGTAGTATCAATAACGCTACATACCTTAATCTTGTTTGTTACTCTCAAAGTCCATCAAAATGACAACTTGTTAGTTATTAACAAACATCAAAAGTGTTTTCAAAAAAAAAAAAAAAAAAAAAACAAACATCAAAAGTTGAAGCTCAAACTCAAACACTAAACAAACTCGGACTTATTTTTACAAACAGTCGGCAACAATTGATTTTACCAAACATATTTTCGTGGTAAACACCAAATAGTAATGATAGACCCATTACAGGTCACTAATACTCCACATAAAACAAAGCGAAATAGTCAACTACTAATAACCACAAGTTAATTGTCAAACAGTACCAACATTGCTTACTAGAGATTTACCAATGCAAACATGGTATCAATTGTAAATTTGTAATGTCAAGTTTGAAACTACAAACACGAATATATACTTAATCAAGTGAAAAACAAGGACATTTCAAGTACAAAACAAGACTAAAAAAGACAAATTTAGAGTTCAAGCAATCACCTGTTTCCCTTGAGCTTGAACCAAGCCTCAGCACAATAAAAATGTGCAACACTAAGTTCACCTTTACATCCACAACCAAGCAAGATAAGATCAGTTTTCGCCGCGAAAAGCGGCAACTTCCATGGTTGCTCAGAACTCAAATGACAAATTCTACACAATAATTCACCATCACAAACTTCTCCATCTCCGCATTTTACATCAACAAGCCATGGTTTTTTCTCATCTTTAGTTTCAGCAACCTTTGTTTCACTCACAATTCCTGTTGCACAACTCTCCCCTGAATTACTTGATCTGTTTTCAGAATTTCTGACAACATCGTCAACAACAACTACAATAACACCAGCTGATTCCTGTGAACAACTCAAATCTTGTGAATTTTCCTGTATTGCAATAACTGTTTCTGAAACTCTTGCATCATTGATTGAACAACCTGAATTTTGTTTCTCAATTTCTTGAAGCTCGACAACAGTTTCTTGACTCATAATTTATAATTTTCAAAACCAAAAAAAAATTACCTTAAATCGCTAAATTTCACGAAACCCGTCATTTTTTTTCTTTACCAATTACATAAAACGCAAAACTTTTACCAAAAAACAGAGCAGCTCATTCTAATTAAATTATAAAAACCCAAAAAACCAAAATTCCATAAACTGTAACAAATTTAAAACAAACAACAATAAAAATTTGTGTGAAATTTATTGGATTATTAAAATTAGAAAGAGAATATAAATAAAGTGTTGTAAGGAACTCTGTTTTAGAAATGTAATGTAAAGTTTCTCTGTTTCTCTCTCCTCTGTTTTGTGACTCTCTGCCTTGACCTAGGATTTTAAGCATAGAAATTGGTTTTTATTTTATTTTATTTTATTAGGGATTTAATGGAAGTTTTTACGAGAAGAAAGGATAAGAAAGAAATCAAAAGAATACTCTAAAATGGTACGAGTAAAAGAAAAAGGTATGGATCCAATCACGGATTCAAGACCATTTTTTTTTTTTTATTTTTATAAGTGTTTAGCTATATCATAAAAACTAATATAAATGAAATTTGATTTTAAATTTTAAATATAATTATTAAGATACTAAATTGGGATGGGTTAAATTTTTTTTACTTCAATTTTCTTTTTGTATGAAACAAAAGTACAAGATTTAAAATTTTCTATTTAAACAAATTAATCAGAGAACAAATTTTTTTTAATGATAATTAATGTAATTATAAGACTATGGAATATAATTTGAAGTTAAATTAATACAATTATAGGAGTTTTATGGATCTTGTGAGTTGTGAGTTGAGTTGTTACATCAATCTAAAGGGAGTTGCTAATATTTAATATTCATATGGTAATTTATGGTTGATGATCTTCCACAAATATTTTAAGGTTTTATATTATATTAGTGGAACTATTTAATAAAAAATGAGGGTCCACCATGTGAGAAATTTATGTTGCAACTGTGATTCTGTCCACAACTTGGTGTATGGATGTCGAATCCCAGTAAACCTGTAAATAGATATTTTAATTTAGGAGGTTTTAAGCATTAATAATTTTTTAAATTAAGCACTTCATTCACTAAAATTGAAGAACGTTTTTCTAAAGTAAGCTTAAGTGGCAAAATATATACGTAAATGGTTACGTGGTAAAAATATTTACCAAATTAAGCTTCCAGGGTAAAACGCGGTCTCAAACAGCGTTTTATGCCCTAGTTTTTTTTTATAAAAAATTCAACTTAAAAACGCTGTCTGGGACAGCGACTTTTGTTGTTGACTTTTTCTTTTAAATTTTTGTAATTGCCTTTTATTTAAAAAAATGTTTTTAAAAAAAAAAGAAAAAGTTATTCACAATACGCTGTCTGAGACAGCGTTTAACGCTCAACAATAAACGCTGTCTCATACAGCGTTTATGGTTGTTAATGAAACGAGACAACGTTTCTGTCGTTTTTTTTTTCCCTCCAGCAGGCAGCGTATTTCATTTCCTCCTCCTTCATTCTCAAACCCCTTCTTTCCCAAACTCTAACTTAATCCCTCTCTCTCTCATACTTGTGCTCCTCCGTCTAGACCGCCGCCGCCACCTCTACCGTCGCCCGCCGTCGTCCGGACGCCGAAGCCCACTATACACTCCCCTCACCCCGAAATAGGTATTCATTCAACTCTCTTTGTTTTTTAAATTCTAGGGTTTATGTTGGTGATTTCTAATTTTTTTGGAATTGAGTTAAAATGTTGATGAGGTTGAGTTGTTAGTGTTAATATTGTTGAATTGTTAGTGTTGGTAATTGTTGAATTGTTAGTGTTGATAATGGTAGTGTTGATATTGTTAGTGTTGATAATAGTTTGGATAATGTTGAATTGTTGTTGTTGGTTATGTTGAAAATTGTTGAAAATGGTTGATAATTATTAGATTTTGAACAATTGTAATAACCTACATTGTTGCGTAATAGTGGTGATTTAGGGGTTCTTAGTAGTTAATTTGTAAAGTATGTAAACTTTATTTGTTTGATTGTGGTGATTTAGGGATGATTTAACGGCTTTAAGTAAAATGTGTTTTGGTTGTTGTGTAGAATATGACTGGACAAAATGTAGTGTTGTTATGCTGTTGGGGAGGTGAAATTTTGTGCGATGGATCAAACGTTGAGTATAGTGGAGGGAATATGGAACCACTAACACTTGAACTGAACATGACAGTTAATGATTTGATGAACGAGGTTCATAGTAGTATTGGTTCAAACCCAATGAATGTGGAACTGAACATTAAAATGAGGTTTGATACTGGTCATGGGGTTCAAGTGTTACCTGTCTCTACGAACAGACATTTGAAAGCTTTGAGGAGCATTGTTGCAATGAAGGGTGTTCCCAATGAGATATATGTAGAAACGGTGCCTATATGTACCCAACAAAGTACTCGGGCTGAACAGCAAGCTACATATGTCTCTGATTACAACACCGCGCCCTTCCAAATGCCCTCAAACCACATTCCATCGAATGAATATGGGATGGGATCTTTCACTCGAATGCTGCAGGACGACCAATTTCACTTGCCGTTAAGTTCTCATATAGCTTCACCAGTACATGCGGGGGGATGTGTGACAATGTTCGGCCAACCTGGTCCGTCGTCATCGAACACTGTGGCATCTTCCCCGATGCAATTGCATAGCTATTCGCCTATGCAAGATGATGTTCAAGCATCACCATCTCGAGAAGAGCCAAATTATTTTGATGATATTGTGAATAATGAATTGTCGGTGTATGATGTGTATGCGGAAATGGATGATGAGGACGAGAACGGAGAGGAGGATGATGAACCTGCACAGATGGAAGTTTTCGAGCCCTTGGTTTGAACTCCCATACCCTGGTTCAGTGAGGTCCCCGAGAACTATGAAGTTGATCAGTATTGGACCGAATCGGGTAGCCACACATCGTTTGTTCCTGGGGGAGAATTTGAGAAGGGAATGTATTTTGAAAGCAAGAAAATGCTTCAAGAAATGGTGAAGATGTACTCTATACAGAGGAATCAATTCTACACCACAGTGACCTCGAATGATGGTGTCCTACATCTGCGATGCAAGAAGAAATGTGGTTGGATGCTACGGGGTACCAAATCCAGTGAGCACTCCCGTGGTTTTACCATAGTCACATACAAAGGCCCGCATCGGGAGACATGTGTCACTGAAGTATTATTTACTAATAACCCACACTTGGATTCGTCCATAATAGCAGAGTATGTGAAGTCCTTTGTGCAGAAAGATCCGTCTTTGAAAGTTGGATTCATCCAGGAACTCATCTCCAAGCAATTTCAATTCATTTCGATGTCCCTTATCGACGAGCGTGGTATGCCAAGGAGAAATCTATAGCTGAAATATTTGGGGATTGGGAGAGTTCTTACGGCAGACTTCCACACTTCATGCAAGCACTCCTACGGTCAAACCCGGGAACATGTGTCGTATGGAAACACAAAGCTTTTGTGGACGGTGTATACTACAGCAACATGGAAGTGTTTGAACGAGTGTTTTGGGCCTTCGGTCCTTGTATTGACGGCTTTAAACATTGTATGCCTGTTATCTGTATCGATGGGACGTACTTGTACGGGAAGTATAAAGGAACATTGTTGGTTGCTACAAGTGTTGATGCAAGCTTTCAGGTATTTCCTCTAGCATTTGCGGTGGTTGAAGGGGAAAACATATCCAGTTGGTCTTGGTTCCTGGGTTGTATTCGGGATCGTGTCACGCAACGGGATGGCCTCTGTGTTATATCTGATCGACATCCTGGGATCATTGCAGCAATGAATGATCCTAATGTAGGATTCACCGAGCCGCGAGCCTATCACAGGTTTTGTGTCCGCCACATAGCTTCTAACTTGAAGACTCTCGTGCGAAGTAACGACATGAGAGATATATTCAAGGCAGCGGCGTACCAAAGGCAGAAAAGAAAACTTTTGGCTGATCTGTGTTTCATTGGTGAGGAATGTACCAAGGCCATGGAGTACATTGCTCAAGTCCCGCTCACTATGTGGTCTCTCTTTCATGACAATGGTCGCAAATATGGGATATGTATTACAAACTTCTCGGAAATATTTAACGTGTTGAAGGGAGCTCGATTTCTACCGATCATGTCCCTTGTCAAGTTAACCTTCCACAGAGTTAACAAGTATTTCACTTTGAGAAGAGAGTCTTTCGAGGCTAGGTCTGATCAGGGACTTCCATACCCCCCAAAGGTCACTGCGATCCTGGAGAAAAACACCACAAAAGCCAGATATCATAGAGTGGATGCGTATAATCGCCGTTTGCATATTTACCAAGTGACAACAGAGAAGGGAGAGCGAATTGGTAGTAAAGGAGGCCACAAGCATACAGTTAACTGACAGTTGAGAACGTGTACATGCAACAAACCGAAGATATTCCACCTCCCATGTTCTCATGTTCTTGCCGTCTGTGCGACGTATTCACTGTCAGAGCGGCCGTGGGTGGACCCTTTGCTTCAATCGGCTGCTTACACGAACACCTATGCACCACAGTTCTGGCCTATCCCCTACGAGACAACCTGGGCACATGGGGCACAATACGTTGGCCCTAAACTCATTCCGGACGGCACCATGGTTCGTGGAAAAGGTCGTCCAAGAACGAAGCGCATACGCAATGAAATGGATGATACCAACGAGCCCCCGACCAAATGCAGTCGTTGTCACCAGCAGGGTCACAACCGAACTACTTGTGCATCTAGACCGACGTAGGACCTAAGTTTATATTTGTTATTTGTTGTAGTAGTACCTAGTAGTGTTATTTTGAATATTTTGTACCAGATTTTCTGAAGTCTGTAAAATTACAATCACTTGGATGATTTATATGTCCTACTTTGGATGTTGTTAGAAATTTTTTGTCTTTGCGTTTAAATCGTCTATCTTATGTTAAATTGCTATTCCAGTTATTTTGTTATTGTATATTATGTAACGTTCTCAATGAACAGACACCATGCACGGACAGGATAGGACACCCGGACCCCTTGACCCTTCTGTCCTGACTCTGCAGGACACACATCGGAGCGTCGACGTATGGAACCAGACGGTAATATTTCATCTGTTACTTTTCTAGATTCATTGATGTACTATCAAATATTAATTTCAAACGGATCATGCTTTTTCAGGGTGACGTAGCGAAGGCGCTGATTTGCAGGCACTACACTTCCCGGGCTCTGGGCGGCTGGGTTGTCGATGAACGCTGTCTTGCGTACGTCGAGTATGCTGGCTTTGGCGGTATTCATTGGGTGGTGTTCAGGGAGATCGACCGACAGCTTGTCACTGCGCTAGTGGAGAGATGGAGGCAAGAGACGCACTCCTTCCATCTACTAGTTGGGGAGGCCACCGTTACATTGCGGGACGTCGCGATACTGACGCGCCTTCCTGTGCATGGGACTGTGGTGATAGGATCCGCGATAGTCGATCCAGCTGGTTTGGTAGTCCGGGTTCTCGGGGTGCAGCCGGGTCACGACAATATTAGGGGCTCCGCGTTGAGGA